GATCAGGTACGATGACTGACAAGATTGTACAACAGATCAGGTACGATGACTGACAAGATTGTACACAGATCAGGTACGATGTCTGACAAGATTGTACAACAGATCAGGTACAACAGATCAGGTACGACGATGACTGACGACGATGTCTGACAAGATTGTACAACAGATCAGGTACAACAGATCAGGTACGACGATGACTGACAAGATTGTACAACAGATCAGGTACGATGACTGACAAGATTGTACACAGATCAGGTACGATGTCTGACAAGATTGTACAACAGATCAGGTACGATGACTGACAAGATTGTACAACAGATCAGGTACGATGACTGACAAGATTGTACACAGATCAGGTACAATGACTGACAAGATTGTACACAGATCAGGTACAACAGATCAGGTACAATGACTGACAAGATTGTACACAGATCAGGTACAACAGATCAGGTACAACAGATCAGGTACGATGACTGACAAGATTGTACAACAGATCAGGTACAACAGATCAGGTACGATGACTGACAAGATTGTACAACAGATCAGGTACAACAGATCAGGTACAATGACTGACAAGATTGTACAACAGATCAGGTACAACAGATCAGGTACAATGACTGACAAGATTGTACAACAGATCAGGTACGATGACTGACAAGATTGTACAACAGATCAGGTACAACAGATCAGGTACAACAGATCAGGTACGATGACTGACAAGATTGTACAACAGATCAGGTACAACAGATCAGGTACAATGACTGACAAGATTGTACAACAGTACAACAGATCAGGTACAATGACTGACAAGATTGTACAACAGATCAGGTACGATGACTGACAAGATTGTACAACAGATCAGGTACAACAGATCAGGTACAATGACTGACAAGATTGTACAACAGATCAGGTACGATGACTGACAAGATTGTACAACAGATCAGGTACAACAGATCAGGTACGATGACTGACAAGATTGTACAACAGATCAGGTACAACAGATCAGGTACGATGACTGACAAGATTGTACAACAGATCAGGTACAACAGATCAAGTACGATGACTGACAAGATTGTACAACAGATCAGGTACGATGACTGACAAGATTGTACAACAGATCAGGTACGATGACTGACAAGATTGTACAACAGATCAGGTACAACAGATCAGGTACAATGACTGACAAGATTGTACAACAGATCAGGTACAATGACTGACAAGATTGTACAACAGATCAAGTACGATGACTGACAAGATTGTACAACAGATCAGGTACAACAGATCAGGTACAATGACTGACAAGATTGTACAACAGATCAGGTACAACAGATCAGGTACGATGACTGACAAGATTGTACAACAGATCAGGTACGATGACTGACAAGATTGTACAACAGATCAGGTACGATGACTGACAAGATTGTACAACAGATCAGGTACGATGACTGACAAGATTGTACAACAGATCAGGTACAATGACTGACAAGATTGTACAACAGATCAAGTACGATGACTGACAAGATTGTACAACAGATCAGGTACAACAGATCAGGTACGACGATGACTGACAAGATTGTACAACAGATCAGGTACAACAGATCAGGTACGATGACTGACAAGATTGTACAACAGATCAGGTACAACAGATCAGGTACGATGACTGACAAGATTGTACAACAGATCAGGTACGATGACTGACAAGATTGTACAACAGATCAGGTACAACAGATCAGGTACGATGACTGACAAGATTGTACAACAGATCAAGTACGATGACTGACAAGATTGTACAACAGATCAGGTACAACAGATCAGGTACAATGACTGACAAGATTGTACAACAGATCAGGTACAACAGATCAGGTACGATGACTGACAAGATTGTACAACAGATCAGGTACGATGACTGACAAGATTGTACACAGATCAGGAACGATGACTGACAAGATTGTACACAGATGACTGACAAGATTGTACAACAGATCAGGTACAACAGATCAGGTACGACGATGACTGACAAGATTGTACAACAGATCAGGTACGATGACTGACAAGATTGTACACAGATCAGGTACGATGTCTGACAAGATTGTACAACAGATCAGGTACGATGACTGACAAGATTGTACAACAGATCAGGTACGATGACTGACAAGATTGTACAACAGATCAGGTACGATGACTGACAAGATTGTACACAGATCAGGTACAACAGATCAGGTACAATGACTGACAAGATTGTACAACAGATCAGGTACAACAGATCAGGTACGATGACTGACAAGATTGTACAACAGATCAGGTACAACAGATCAGGTACGATGACTGACAAGATTGTACAACAGATCAGGTACAACAGATCAGGTACAATGACTGACAAGATTGTACAACAGATCAGGTACAACAGATCAGGTACAATGACTGACAAGATTGTACAACAGATCAGGTACGATGACTGACAAGATTGTACAACAGATCAGGTACAACAGATCAGGTACGATGACTGACAAGATTGTACAACAGATCAGGTACAACAGATCAGGTACAATGACTGACAAGATTGTACAACAGATCAGGTACAACAGATCAGGTACAATGACTGACAAGATTGTACAACAGATCAGGTACAACAGATCAGGTACAATGACTGACAAGATTGTACAACAGATCAGGTACGATGACTGACAAGATTGTACAACAGATCAGGTACAACAGATCAGGTACAATGACTGACAAGATTGTACAACAGATCAGGTACGATGACTGACAAGATTGTACAACAGATCAGGTACGATGACTGACAAGATTGTACAACAGATCAGGTACAATGACTGACAAGATTGTACAACAGATCAAGTACGATGACTGACAAGATTGTACAACAGATCAGGTACAACAGATCAGGTACAATGACTGACAAGATTGTACAACAGATCAGGTAGCATGGTATGAGACCAGTTTGTTCTATCATGGCTGTGTCCTTGGCCATATTACTTTTACTCTTGATGGAATTGTGATATGCCTCCCATATGTTGTTCACTAAAATATAAACTAGCTTCTTTAAAGAGACCCCACCTGAAAATGACCTAGCAGTTCACAAGACAGTAAACCTGGCATACAGAAACACCAAAGGAAGTTCATGAAGAAATTGATGACACTCTAAATATAGCCTTCTAAAGAATATGATGCTGTACACTGAACCTCTTGTGTTTCTAGGCCAAACCAGAAATCAATCAATCAGTACTCTCTCACCATTTAAGGTCCTGGTCGTTAGAATGTTATTGATTTCCGAGGAGAGGAACCTATTATTGCTGTAGGTTGTATGTACAGGAGGCGTCGGAGTAAATATGATATTGCGTCTTTATCTACCAATCTTCTTCCGTGTCGGAGATACACATCTGAGAGACGTACACTGTAGTTCAGTATTCTGATTGATCTGGTTTTATCATTATTTACCTGGAAAATAACATTTTTGAGAAAAAAATGGACTGTGTATATTATACAATTTTTATGTAAGATAAATTGGTTGGTGTCGTTATTTGATGGTTGCACATAGAGGAAGAGAAGAGACCCATCTCCCTGTTGATAGTTGTAGAATTATTGACATGAAAACTTCACACACATTGGTCATATAGTATTTGGTTATCTCCCCTTGTTCAGGTTAAATGTTGATTTCACAATTCTGTATTTGCTAGAGACATTTACTCTAAACATATTTTTCTTGGCTAAATTCCCCTGAAAACAGAATAACAGGTTTCCAGCTTTATCTCAAAACTTTTTATTTTCACTTGATAAACAGAAATTAAACAGTAAAATGGGCAAAACATTATTTCCCCATACACAGTAATCAGATTTCAAACAACTTATCTCCCTTTGTGTGAATTTCATTAATTTTACAATGTTTTCATACAAAATGGAGTATGAACCTACTGGAAAAACTTAGATTATTGAATTAGATTTCATATCTGTTGGTAATGTTTTAATGTAAAAAAATTCAATTTTCCAATCGTTATGGAAACACTAAAATTTTGTATAATTGATATAGATATGAAAGTTTAACTTATAAGTATTAAGATATATATACATTATTTCAGCTACAACTCCTTTAAGTTTCAAGTCTTGTGTCTGTGACCTTGACCCTCAGTTGTAAGCTTTAAGTATCAGTTCATGTACTATAAGCCTACCGGTATCTATAGAGTTTCCCGTATAAATACTGACTGATGTTTTCTCAATGATTGTCCTGTAATTAGGCCATCTTCCTTTATACTTAAACAGAATTTATTTTGAGGGATGGCCTTCCAGGTTTATCAGTAGATGAAAACATAATCTTATGACAAATTCTCCTGAATATTTACATAGAAATATTATGTGGATGAGGAAGATGTGAAGACACATCAGTGATTGTGATTGGTCAGAAAGGTTTCTTGTTCTTAAGTGGGTGTAACCAACTGATAGTGTAAGCTGTTAAAAAAAACACTTACTTTACTTAAGGGTATACCAGTAATATGTTTGTGGTTTAACCTTTGACCTTTGACTTATGACCTGTCTTAATTTTGATCAGATCCAGACTTTTGATGATCTGTCTTACCTATGCACAGTTATGTGGTTAGAAATTGTAAAGTGTATCATTTAAAAAGTGATGTCAAAATTTTGTTTTTCTTGTTCATATGAAAATAACTGTCCTTTGTCTTAATGAATCAAAACGAACCTTTCAGGTCACATGCATTCTTTACTTTAATTAGTTACACACTGGGGTTAACATTCAGTTAGATAAAAGTGTTTTAAGTCATTGATGGGAGTCATGAACAAACAATAGTATTAGTGTGTCCTAACCCCACAACTATGATACATGACTTTCCTATTTTATTGACAAAGAAACTATTACATGACTATGTATATTAATATGACGAGAATTATATTTGACATTGTAAGTTATTTCAAAATTGTTCAATAAATAGTGTTTGGAAATAGTTCTATGTTCTTGTATTTTTCATTTTCAGAGAATGAAGGAAAAAAACATGAAAGACCAATATACTTGACAATTAGGTAAGTAGAATTATAGTGTTGTTTGTGACATTTTGTTGTTTATCATTACAAACTGTAGTGTTGTTTGTGACATTTTGTTGTTTATCATTACAAACTGTAGTGTTGTTTGTGACATTTTGTTGTTTATCATTACAAACTGTAGTGTTGTTTGTGACATTTTGTTGTTTATCATTACAAACTGTAGTGTTGTTTGTGACATTTTGTTGTTTATCATTACAAACTGTAGTGTTGTTTGTGACATTTTGTTGTTTATCATTACAAACTGTAGTGTTGTTTGTGACATTTTGTTGTTTATCATTACAAACTGTAGTTTTGTTTGTGACATTTTGTTGTTTATCATTACAAACTGTAGTTTTGTTTGTGACATTCTGTTGTTTATCATTACAAACTGTAGTTTTTTTTTGTGACATTCTACTGGTTATCATGATAAAATTGTTTGTAATGAATTGACCCAGAGAAGGACTGGGATGGAGAGGGATATATTCACGTCATGATTACACACTTATGTACGAACAAGGATGTAAGTATGTGGAGGATGGTGAGGAAGTGACTTGTGTTTATTAGTAAATTTGTAAACTGACTTACGACATACACGGAAAAGGCTGTTTATCAAGGTTTTATTAATTAATATTTAATTGGGAATTTGTTGATTGGTAACAAGGTATTGTATTTTTTTTATTTTGTATACATGCTAACAAGAATTACCATGATTGAGTTTTGTACTTGTTTTGTTTTGTGTGTGTGAATGTATTTGTGTGTATGTATGTTTTTGTGTGAGTGTGTATGTTTTTGTGTGTATGTATGTTTTTCTGTGTGTGTATGTATGTTTTTGTGTGAGTGTGTATGTTTTTGTGTGTATGTATGTTTGTGTGTGTATGTATGTTTTTGTGTGAGTTTGTATGTTTTTGTATGTATGTATGTTTTTCTGTGTGTGTATGTAGGTTTTTGTGTGAGTGTGTATGTTTTTGTGTGTATGTATGTTTGTGTGTGTGTATGTATGTTTGTGTGTGTATGCATGTTTGTGTGTGTTTATGTATGTTTGTGTGTGTATGTATTTTTGTGTGTGTGTATGTATGTTTGTGTGTGTGTATGTATGTTTGTGTGTGTATGTATGTTTGTGTGAGTGTATGTATGTTTGTGTGTGTGTGTATGTATGTTTGTGTGTGTGTATGTATGTTTGTGTGTGTGTATGTTTGTGTGAGTGTATGTATGTTTGTGTGTGTATGTATGTTTGTGTGTGTGTGTATGTTTGTGTGAGTGTATGTTTGTGTGTGTGTGTGTGTGTATGTATGTTTGTGTGTGTGTATGTTTGTGTGTGTGTATGTATGTTTGTATGTGTGTATGTTTGTGTGAGTGTATGTAAGGGTGTGTGTGTGTGTGTATGTATGTTTGTGTGTGTGTATGTATGTATGTTTGTGTGTGTGTATGTTTGTGTGTGTGTATGTATGTATGTTTGTGTGTGTGTATGTTTGTGTGTGTGTATGTATGTTTGTGTGTGTGTATGTATGTTTGTGTGTGTGTATGTTTGTGTGAGTGTATGTATGTTAATGTGTGATTGCATTGATTCTGTTATGAGTGATTACCTAACACCTCTCTAACAGTTATTGTTTAGCGTGTACGTATATAACTATTTTGAAGAGAGCACTTGTATAAGATTTGCTTGCTGTGCAGTGCCCAGTAAATTAGGTTGATCTAATGAAACACTGGTGATATGTCTTCTACTGAACCTAGCTTGGTGTATGACTTAGTGGTTGGTACCTGCGTAGATTTAAGGTATTGATTATCAGTAAATTATCAAAATGGTTCAACACTGTCTAGATCCTGTTAGTCCAACAGTAAAGAGATAAGTTTGAAATAGCTTGTTTAATGGTAGAAATTGTTTTATATAAAGTCTATAACTGGACTTTGATGATAACATTTAAAATCTCATCTGATATAGCAAGCTTTACCAAGTTTGCTAAATTAGCAGGCACTTTCATGCAAAGCTGTGTCATTTATAGTGACAATAAATGCCATCACAAGGCAGGTTGATGGTAATATATTTTACATTTCTTATACATGTTGTTTTATGTTGACTAGAAATGGCAGGAATTATGTACAACAGATCTGTTGCTGTTTGTAGAACTGCCTATAAATGCACTTTCATACTGTCCTGTAATAAGCCCCCCTCCCCCTGCTAAATAAGCAGGCAAGGTGACATTTACCTGCAAAGTTCTGTCATTTATATTGACTATAAATGCCATCACAAGGCAGATGGATGGTGATATCTTTTACATCTCTTACACAAGAATTCAGTGCAACTGATGTGTTGCCTTTTAAATAATTACTTATAAATGCAGTTTCGTACTATCTTGAAATAAGCCTCCTCCCACTGCCTCCCCTCTTCTAACTGAGAGTCGGCAGTGTGTTGCCCATTGGGTATACTGTAAAGTAAATAGTATAATACTGAAATTATTTCCCAGCTAAAATATCTGTTGTTTCATTTCAGTCTGACTTTTTTTATTTATTTACCTTTGGACTGGTGACCTTTTGACCCTTGACCTTTGTCACCAAGTCAACCTTCTTGCAACCATGGGAGAGCCTTCAGCCAAATGGAACCTTTTACAACTTGCCTTTGTAGCGGTCTACCCAGCATGTCTGTCTTCTATACGAATGGTAGATGGTAAGTCTATATATAGCATTGTATCTTTTCCTTCATAGCGGTCAACCCAGTACCACTGTTTACTAAACAACAAATGGTATACAGGCTCTTTATAGTAACATAACTTTGTATTTTGTCTGATCTGTTTAACATGTGTTTGAAGTTGTCTCCCTTGTACTTGCTCTCTAGGAATGACAGTATATTGTATCATTTTACCCTACTGATTAGCTTACCAAACATCTCTGTTTTTTCGTGGGGGAAGGTTTTCAGACTGCAGAATATTTTATAAATGAATAAGATTTGTGTTCTATGAATATGTTGTTTAAAGGCTCCTATTTACTAGAGCAATAAATACATACCTTGAAAATAAAAAAACTATACTTCTGTATGAATTAATAAAGTCAAACCATGAAAATTTTTACCAACATAAAAAGTTTCTCCTTAAAGTATGTTATAAGTTGGTGTTTTGATTGTGTTATATGAGCTCTCTCCTTGAGGAGGTTTTAGTGCTAGCTGTAACTGACAGTTCATCCTGTGTTTAAGGTTTAGGGTGTAACTTGACATGGACGAGGTAATTGTAACCATCTTGTCTCCTTATAGATCAGGTCTACGCCTTTGTCCTTTACTTATGTGGCGTTGTAGTGTTGTGTCTTAAGATGTTACTCCTAGGTCTTGTCCTCAATACACTCCTGTTGCTAAAGTTAATTTAAAGATGATATTGACTGCGTCTCTGGGAGCAGAATAAATAGGTTTTTATCGTCAGAAGTCATTATGATTCATTCTGTTTTTGATAGCGTTGTGGTTTAAAAAATTGTGAAGATGATATTAGAGAAAATGCTGAAGTGTGGTTGATATTTTTGAGATATGGTGATGTATGGATGTGGGCCCAGCATCACTGGTGACTAGAGGTGTAGTGACTAATCCACTCACATCATCTTGTTGTCTATTTAGAATTGTTTGTTTCTAGTGAATTTTTTTTGAATTTGTAACAAAATTTCTGAAATTCAACATATTTTACCAATAAAATCCTGTTGTTCATGAGGGTGAGTGTAAGGTTTCAACCATACATTTGATAACAGTTAAATGTGACTGGAGATATGCCGTAAAATGAGATATTTTTGTGGGGCTGAATTTTCATGGTTAAAAATACAAACTATTTCCTGTACACTGGATTTCAAGGATACATATTGCTCAATAAATGTATATAAAGACTAATTTTATACATCATAGACTTATGAATTAATTAAGAGTACATCAGAAATTAACGTCAATAAAAACCCACAAAAATGAATGATTTCACAGTAAGTCCTGATTAACCCTACTGAAAGCAGATTATGATTTAGAGGATCTTGATGACTTTACGTGTCAAATGAGATTCCTGAATCCAGTCCATCAATTGTAAGATGGAAATTCATGATGAGCTTCATAAATCTCCTCTAAAATGGAAACTCATGCAAGCTTTTTTTTAGCCCACCATCTAATGGATGGTGAGTTATTAAAATCGCCCTGCGTCCGTGGTCCGTCCGTAAACAATTCTTGTTACCGCTATTTCTGGAAAAGTACTGGATGGATCTTTCTCAAATTTCATATGCAGTTTCCCCTTGGTCCCTAGTTGTGCATTGTACCTTTTTTGGACTGATTCAAATTCAAGATGGCCGACAGGTGGCCATCTTGGATTTTGGAAGTAAAAGTTTGTTACCGCTATTTCTGAGAAAGTACAGGATGGATCTTCCTCAAATTTCATATGCAGTTTTGCCTTGGTCCCTAGTTGTGCATTGTACCTTTTTTGGACTGATTCGAATTCAAGATGGCCGACAGGCAGCCATCTTGGATTTTGGAAGTTAAAGTTTGTTACTGCTATTTCTTGGAAAGTACTGGATGGATCTTTCTCAAATTTCATATGCAGGTTCCCTTTGGTTCCAAGTTGTGCATTATACCTTTTTGGACTGATCCGAAATCAAGATGGCTGACAGGCAGCCATCTTAGATTTTGAGAGTAAAATCTTGTTACTGCTATATCTGAGGAAGTACTGGATGGATCCTTCTGATATTTCATAGATATTGGTTTCCCTTGGTCCCTAGTTGTGCATTGTACCTTTTTTGGACTGATTTGAAATCAAGGTGGCCCACAGGCAGCCATCTTGGATGTCGACAGTAATACAGCACAAGCATATTGTCCATTATCCACCTGTAACTGACTGCTATCTAATAATACTTTGGGATCTTTTTCAAATGATATTTGCTAATAGGTGCTTAATAAAAATATCTTGTGCCATCATTGAGTACATTCAATGAAGACCAGTTCATGAACATTTACAACACCTGTAACAAACAAAAAAAATAAACAAATCTTCAAGAACTGAAAATAGATCCTCAAATGGTGGGCACCAAGATCCCTCTGGGATCTCTTGTTCACCTTATAATATGGATAATCATAAAAACTGCATTTCATCAGACCAATATAAGATCTAAGTTGGCAATATTTCTACTCCAAATTTCATTTTTTTCGGACAATGTCACAATGTATGTATTATGCCATAAAGTTATGTATCATAATTGAATACATGGAAACATACAGCCAAGTTACAGTTCTGTTAGATATTATTTTTTCTTGACAAAATTGTAAAAGGTGTTATTACTCTAACAACAGGTCATAGGTATATTATGAGTATATATATATACTACAAATATATTAAATCCTATTAATTATCTCTATATCACTTCTTGGTTAGATCAGTTAATTCCTGTTAGTACAAGTGTACTAACAATATAAACAGAGTTATTGGCCTTTGTTGATTTTTTTACAATAATTTGTCGTAAAGTGGAAAAGGTTTCCCATGATTATGGTATTTATTGTGATATTCAACACCGATATTGTAAAATAATATAAATACTTTACTGGAACATTCAAGCATTTCATAATTAAATTGTAAATTCTAATAATATAACTTTTTTTTGTGACACAGCTGTCATCTTTTGTTATTTACTCATGGTGGCCCAGATTTAAGTTTACTGGGGATCTTACTGTGGGAAGAAACCAGAGTTGAAGTAGAAAACCCACATAGTGGGACAGGTGACTCTGTGTAGAGAAGCACGCTCACTGGCTGTTATGTATCCAGTCAGTTTACATTAATGTTAACAGTAGACAGCAGACAAAAGTATCGAGCTTGCATGGTGTTAAGTCATTGATCTTTAAGACCAGGCTTGGAGAAAAGTCTCCCTAATTTGTTTTATGTTGCTTTTGTCCCCTCAGGCCTATAACTTGTAGATTATACTTTGAATTGTTGTTTCCTGGTATAAATACTATGATGGTTCTGATGGACTCCTGCAAATACAGTCTGTCCTTCTATATAGATGTGTCTGTGGTTTGAAATGATAGTTTGTTTAAATATATTTGTTGATGGTGCATAGATTTTTCAGAAATTTAATTGTTTTTGTGTCATGAAGGCATTTTTGGTGTTCATTAAAACTTGTTCTTTTTTCTTCTTTTTCTTCTGTGCTGGTTCACTTCAAGTCTGTCTTGATATTTGCATTTGAGTTGGCCATCTTTTGCGATACACATTTAAGCCATGCAAGACTTCTCTCAGATTACGGCTCTATCTGAATCAGACCAGGAAACATTGAAATTGAAAAAGAAGTTGGGAGACAAATAATTGCTTTGTCTGGACATAGGAGGATGAGATAATTGTCATGGCTGCATGCTAAGCATCAGACAGTATATATACTGATGAGGTCCTAAGTTTAAACCATAAGGACTCTATCATTAGGTAGATTCTAAGTGACTGTTTACTGAGGTAAATGGTAACATACTTTGACATAAATACCACATATGTGTCTTAATTAAAGAAAAGAGGAACAAGCTAACAAAGGGTCACTGTGAGGTTTTAGAATGGTTTTCTGTTTGAAGACATTACTAAAATTTGTATTGATAATATATTACCACTGTCATAAGAACATTTACCATTCTTGAAAATTTAGAATTTAAAACAAAATTTTCATTCCTTTTCAAATACTACAAGAAAATATGAGTAACTAAAAAAATCTGTATTCACACTCAAAATTGATAAAATCAGGGACAAATTGGAACAAAAGAAAGAGAAACTCAGAAATCCTTAAGAACAGAGAAGAGAACGGCAGAATGAAAGAGTTGTAAGGGGAGATAATAAAAGAAAGGGGGGTCATACAGTGCTCCAGATAGCCTGCGTGAATGCGTTTTCACGCACAATATTTCTAATTTCACGCTAGGAAAAAAATAAGATTTGCGTCATTAACCCGTGCGAAATCCGGACTCTGCGTCAATGTCCGGCTCCAATATTACGTAGTTAGAAAACTCAATAATCTAAGTCAAACAGACACTTATCAAGTAAACGAAACTCGTAACAAGCGCTTTCTTGATCGTGATTATAAACCAGTCACATAGCAAATATGGCGCTGTCAAAAATGTTTACAAATTCAGTGTTACCCTAATATGGAAAAACCCATACACTTGATGAAGGCATGGGTGAAAAAACCCCTCAATTTATAAAGGTAGGAGTAAAAACCCCACATGTCAAAAAGTTATCTGGAGCACTGGTCATAATTAGAGAAGGGGGTAATAAGAGAAAGGGGAGGTAAACAGGGAACAAGGAAATGATAGGAGAGAGGGGAGGTAATCGGGGAACAAGGAAATGATAGGAGAGAGGGGAGGTAATCAGGGAACAAGGAAATGATAAGAGAGAGGGGAGGTAATCAGGGAACAAGGAAATGATAGTAGATAGGGGAGATAATAAAGGAAAGGTATGTTAATTATTAAGAGAAAGGGGAGGTAAGAAGAGAATGAGGAGATAATGGAGGTGATAAGAGAAATGATCATAATAAGAGAAAGGAAGGAGATAAAAAGAGGCTGATGTCATGATAGACATAATCATAGAAAGGATAAGTAGGAAGGAGAAATGAGGAGAGGGGAGGAAGTGATAAAAATATGGCGAAATAAAGAAGTGTTGAAAAGGATATGTGATCGGAGAAAAAATAAAGTAATGATGG